AAGAGAAGGGGAGGTCGAGGGCGCCACCGTCGCGTGCTCCCGCGTCGCGCGACCACGTGACGTGCCCCGCCCCCGACTGCCGACGCTTCCTTCTCGCCCCTCCCCCTCTGCTTCAGACTTTCCTATGCTCTTATCTCTTATCGCACCCTCCATTCCTTTTTACGCTACTTGAGCTCGGGAGGGGTTCTTTGTGGTGTCGGTTACGAGATGTTGGCTTAGAGAAGTCAGACCATTCCAGGAGACAGATTCTGAATCAATGTATTTTGTTGTAAATGTCACAATAAAATAAAAGCGGTAAAGAAAATGCGATTTTGGAGATTGTTACTATCGGATAATCATTGTATTGGCATGAATAACCATTAAAAGAGAATTACGGTATTGTAACACGCCATTGAGTAATCTTTAACAGGAGGGCGAAGTTTGAGAGCAATAAAGCTGTCAAATGTCAAAAGTGTAGGAATGGAAACTACTGGTAAATTTTACTTCAAGACAAGTACAAAAAATTATTACCAATATACATTTGAAATAACCACGAAAACCTATTTTCTAAACTTAGTTTCCTGAAGGTGTCTTTCCCTGAACTTTCCGTGATTAAACGAGTAATCTTACTTCATTCTCAGTGTAAAGCTTTAATTTACTTGTTTCTTTACGGCAGACAATTGACTGTATTTAATCCGAATATTAGGGGACAGTAAAACAAATATACTTACTTTAATACTTTAGTTTACTATACCTGTAAGAAATCTACACTGTCCCTGATGTTTGAGTCAGAAGGGCGATACAACTTACAGCCGGTGAATCATGACCCCTTCACCCTTAAAATTTCTATGCATCTGGATAGTAACGATCAATGCGGGTGAACTAGATATTATAATATAATAAATATTATCAAATGCTTACGTTTAGGACCATAACTTTTAAATAGTTGCGTTCGCAATTGAAATGAAATTTCAGCTCATATATGTGGAGGGCATTATAACGGCGAAATGGTTGACAACCGAAATAATGTGGTTTTCACACCATGCCGTTGCGGGAAGACCGCAGACCACCGCTAAATCGGATTGTCAAAGTTACATATTGTTCTGACGGCAAATTATATTCGAAATTCCCTTCGTCAATAATTGCCACGTACGACGGATACAAAGCAAAGGATAATTCCATTCAACTTTATTTTGAGCGAGTGTTTAAATAACTTAACATTTTTAGGGATGTTTATTTTTTAGGGATAATATTCACTTACGATTACATGTTACAAGTTAACAACTACTTACTTTTGAGTTAATAGCACCTTACATTTCTTAAACCTTTAAACAGTGATCCGTAGAGCCCCGATGATTATGATCTAAATGTGTTAGAAATATGCAAGCATTTATGACTTACAAAATATTAAAATATGGCCATAAATATGTCTTAAAATGTTTTAGTTGCATTTTCGATACCTTCAATATCTTTCCGTTGTTTAAACAACCATTATAATGATAATATATTTTAAAAATCTAGCAGATTCACAATTCATCCTTTCCCCTTTGGCGCTCCCGTGAATACAATTTTATTTCCTAAAGTTATTAAATCAATTTTTTAGAAGCCTTGGCACAAAACCTGTCAAAATTATACAAACATTTCCTTCATATATGGTGCTTTCTATGGTTTCTTTTTCTCCTTCAATAAAGCTTACCAGGAAAAACAGACAATAATTAGATAACAATTAAGAATTATGAAAAATATCTTTGAGACAACTACAAGGAAGTATGCGAAAATGGAATCAAAAAGCTAAAGATTATTTACAATGAATTTTATACGACAACATACTTTGCTAACTTTGCGATTTTGTATTTTGACCCTCTGTGGGGGATGATCGCGTGCACTGTGCCAACACGCAGTACAATTGACTACATTCAGAAGTGGTCCACTGCGTGTTTGGACGCGTGCTTTCAAAGCAACAATAGGCAATCGTAATGTAAAGTGAACAAGTAATACCTTTCTTTAACAACTTAGATTTCATATCTATCTATTTTCGTGTGAGGTGATTGTCAGGCCGAATGCGACCCGCCGATTCAACTTCCTCGAAAGGAGGTCAGCGCAGGTCAGCACGGCGCCGGGCTTGCTGCGAGCACGCCTGCACGGGCGTCTCGCCCCCCCCCCCCAAATTGCCCCGTGTCGTTTTGGGTAATTTGGGCTCGTGCGTGAGACAAATCGCTCGAGATCTGCCTCGACTGCTGCCCGCCTGCCCGCCCGCACGCGCTTTCGTCGCGACATCAACAACAACGCACGACACTTTTGAGCGTAACGAGCGGTCAGTGTTCTCCGGCTGAGATTTAAATCACAGTTGACGGCTCTCGGTTGTCCGGGTGATGTCCGCGTTGAAGGCATTGATTCTGACGTTTCGACCACCATATCGTGGTCTTCTTCGCCGTACAGAAGACAACGATGTGGTGGTCGAAACGTAGGCATCACTGCTCTCGATGCGGCATCACCCGGAAAGTCGAGAGCTTTCACACGACTCTGGCCGGGGAAGTTTATGATTGAAATTACATCACAGTTACTTTAACCCATCGAAGAACTTCGCGCATGTTCATCATGTTGCCAAATATCGTGTTCACATATCGTGGTTCTCGTATGTTAATCGTATCCGCAAACCTTAGTCTTATTTTAACTATAAGGCTCATTGCGACCCTTTCTCTTCTTGACTAAATGTGTTTCATGGAGATATACCACTTTGGAAATAAGTTACTCAAAACCTTGAAGAAATATAACAAGTTGGGAATGTTTTGGGGTGAAGATGCGGCAAAAAATATCACATTAAAAATGTCCGATCGTAGAAAATGATGTACTGAGAATGCATATCGTCAGGAACCTCATTCAGGAAATGACCGTTTGAGATAACTATTTTACGTGGAAAATACGCCCCGAATCACTTATCTCGTATGGTCTATTGCATTGATTCAGAAGATAGTTGACTAACGTTGAAGACAGTGAATGAAGAGTAACTGTAACCTCCAAGGCACTAAATGAATCTCGTGGTGAGCAAAGGAATAATAATAAATGTGATACATGAATGCGTAATACTTTATACAAATAATTCCCGACAGTTAGCGTGTCATACCGTTGTACCATGCAAATTAGGGTATTATAAGCATAGTTACTTTGGTTATCGATTAATGCTGTTGCAATGTTATATCTACTTCCATCAGATTAGCACAAGCACTTTGCAAATTTCTGTGCCGGAAGTTTGCACGTGCCCATTCCGGAGAGCTAACAAAATACAAACGTGAACCTGCCGAGCCGAGTATAAATATTTACTCATTCGCGTTCATATCCATAATGACATAAAATATGATTAACTGTTAAGAGTATTTGTTTAATTATATTTTGCTGGGATTATTTTAGAATTTTGTTAACGAAGAGCATTCCAATACTTTGTTTAAAAAATGAATAAAACGAATTGTAATCTTTGTGAACTCAAAAACGCGCACGTGAACATTTGCCTGGTAAATATAGTCACGTTTGCATTAATATTTAAAAATATACAAATGAGGGTAACAGCCATTCATGTTTTTGAATTTATATTGTAATCATCTATTATACTCGTATGCGGTAAGTATTTACAGTGCTGTTTTCTTCACAAGTTGATCAGCTTAATAATTCATGACCAATTAGTGAGAAAACAAAGAAGCAAAATAAATAAACAAATACATTGTAGTCTTTTGTTCGGATTTTGGCGGATCGCTAATAAAGAGAACGGTGTAGCCGAACCTTTTGTACGCAATACGAATGTGTCCTGTGTGAGAAGGAATTTAGAAAACAATCATCACCATGGTTTTCATTTACCTTTTATCGAATCACTTAGTAACACATTTACGGGCAGTATTTTAACTGTATTTTAATTGTTATAGACATACATTGCGTCTTAAATTGTGTAGAATAATTCTTTAAAACCAATTTTTTCAGCCATCGATCTTTTATTGGCAATGATTTCCCTCTGCTGAAAGGCGAGATCCGGCGCCGATCTCGTCGGGTTGCCAGATTTTCTCCGACCAGGTGTCTTCCCCCAGCGGGGCACCGCCCTGACTGGGGCATGCTCTAAGCGCCCATCTGGTCTCACGACAAGTGTGATAGTGTAGCTCCTATGAGTATGAGAGTCTGTAAGTAAGGGGGTGAAGATAGGGCAAGAAAGAGGAAGAACAAACCGCGTGCGGCCCTTGGCCCGTTTGTTAGGGTACTGCTCTCCTGGTACTGATCGGAGAAATCACGGAAAACTACCGAATAGAACAGCCGATCACTAGAAGTCTCCTTCAGACAGCGACTGAATTCGACCCAGCTATGTAGCTAGTGTCGAAAATCCTACTTTTGTTTGGTTTAGTGTTTCCGGGCACGTTCACTAAAAGGGTCGTCCTGTAAGTCTTGTCCTATAAGTGTAGTGCACGTTTTAGCTCTGGGGGGGTGGCGGAGATCTTTCCCACGATGTATGGCGAGATACGGCGTTGACCTACCGTCGGCTAGAGAGGTTTTCCCAACCAGGTATCCCGAAGAGCGGGGCACCGCCCCAGCCGGGACAAGCTCCCGACCGGTCTCCCGGCATGTGTGCTTGTGTCGAGCATGTTAGTTTGTGTTTAAGGGGGTGGATAGGGCAAGGAAGAGGTAGGAATGATCACGCGCGGTCCGTGTTCCGTTTGTTAGGGTACTGCTCCGGCATTCGCCAGGTGTTGATTGGAGAAACCACGGAAAACTACCGATCACAGCAGCCGGCCGTTAGAATTCTCGTCCATCGAAAATCTTGCCACCGTTGGACCCCGAACTCTAGGACCTATCGGTCAGAGGCCCTGTACGTAACGTCAATTGATGCTTCGAGTGTGAAGCCGGTGTGTACTTTGCGAATGTGCATTTGTTTGTTGTTTGTTGTTTGTTTGTTTGTTGTTTGTTCGTTTGTTTGATGATGTGCGTTTGTGTGTGTGTGTGTGTGTGTGTGTGTGTGAGGGTGGAGGGGGATTGCGCTGACTCACCGCGGTGTACTCTGCCTCGATGAAGGCGTAGTCGACGCCCAGCCAGAGCGAGAGCGGCACCAGGAGCAGCATCTCGCGGCGGCGGTGCAGCGCCAGCGTCGCCGTCAGCAGCCCGCGCGTCGACAGCCCCGACGCGCTGCTCGCGCGCTGGCCCTCCGAGTACCTGCGGCAAACGAAACATTGGATGCAAAGGACCAGTTTCGAAAATATTGAGACTTCATCTGAAATACCCCCAAAATCAAATTATCCGTTTCAGAGAAGCAGAGTCTCCTGTTCGTTCAGATCGATTGGGCTGTATCAATTTTGGAGAAAGCCGTCTAAACCGTTTTAGACGCTTTCGTTAACCGCACAAGCGCCAGACAGATGTTTTTCCGTAAATCGATTTTTCGTTGTCAAGCAATGTCGGCTCCTGCTTAGGTTGCTCAACCCCAAGGTCATCGTAAAATAGTCTTCATTAAAAATGGGAAGGTTTTTATGGCGAAGCATTACAACAATCGACAGCACTGTTGATCTACATACGTGTAAATCGTTTTTTTTACATCAGAGTTACAGTCGAGTGATGTACCGTATGTCATGTAAAATGTCCCTAATGTCTCCATAGTACAGCGCCATTTATTATAGCAACACCATAATACTCGCAGAAAATGTAGGAATCGATGTGACCGAATATGTATGTACAGTATGTAAGATTATTATATTTTTGTCAAAAATGTGGCTATCGCTATCAAAAGTCGAGCCCTTCATATAATCAGGTCGATTTTACTTTCTCGTGGACTAGTACGTACGTAGGTTAAAATATTTGCCTCGTAGGTAGGTTAAAATATTACAATAGAAGTCTTCTTTTTTAAAAGATTTGAAGATAATAAGTGATAAAAAAGTAAAACATTCAGTAGGTAAATTGAAGAAAATTAAAGAAAGCTTAAGATTTATAACTTATAATAACTACTATAATTACTATAACGCTCAATAATCTGAATTTCATAACAATATTTTTTGTTACAATTGATACGGTTTCTCATTTCCATGCAGTTTTAATGCTTTGCATGGTCTGACGGAAGATGACACCAAGACATGATACCACGTAATGTACGGCATCATTGAGTAGATGACTTCTAGGCTGCCCGGGTGACGCCGCGTCGTTGGCAGATAGGCCGACGTTTCGCCTGTCATGTCGCAGGCTTCTTCAGGGTAGTGACACAGTAAAGCTCCGCCTCCGGTGTTATATCTTTTTCAGCCTAGGGGCTCGGGTAACAAACACCGGCCTATCTGCCAACGACGCGGCGTCACCCGGACAGCCTAGAAGTCATGAACTCAAGCCGCGGAAGCCTACGTGTACATCGTCGAGTAGAGTGCACGAGTGTGGCGGTCGAGCGCGCGCACCTTTTGAGCGAGTCAACGTAGCAGGCGGCGATGAGCGCGGCGAGCAGCATGAAGCCGATGTAGATGCCGATGATGAGCGTGATCTTCTCCTGCGGCGGCCGCTCCAGGTTGGGGTTGTCCTTGGCCGCGTCGCTGTTGGGGCAGAAGTCGACGCCGCACAGCCCCTGCACCGACGCGTTGGTCGGCGAGCTCTCCCCGTGCGACAGCACTGCAACCAAGCAACGGTTTATCCATTGATCAGCGATTCCGCTCATAAGACAGTATGTCCCGTAAGTGTGGTGTATGTGATTATCGCGAAAAGTGGCGGTCATCTTCCCCCGATGAATGGACCAATTTTTTGACGGCCCCTAATTAATATATGAATATTAACCTGGCCTTTAGAATTGGAGTTCCATCGTAAAGCTACTTGCGCTTTTAAAACCTACATAATGTTTTCCCCGATCATATTAATCGTTAAAACGCTGCCAGTGACTTTTGCGTAACTGGTGCGTCACCTTTGTCATTAACACTTCTTCTTGTATAAGATGCCCCACCAATGCTTTGTACATCAACAGTTACCAGACTCCAGTCCAGACGTGAAGATTGTACCCCAGGATTACAACTACAACGTAACAATGAGCAATATGTGCTATGTCGTAGCACCACTAGTTCAATACGCAAACGTACAAATATGACGTGAATTGGAATGTTGGATAATATTGAGTTTGTTGGTTCGGGAACAAATAATAGTGAATTCTGTTAAATCGATGAATAAACGGATCTAGTTCAGATTGAGAAAAGAAAGTTATGAATCATAAAAGAAAAAAGAAAATGCTTCCTAGAATTTTAAATGTGGTATGGCTGCGAGAATGTTCCTGCTAATTATACTATAAATTGAGAAGAGATCCGAGGATCAAGGAAGAGTACAAAAAATAGCAAATGAACAAAAAAGATATAAAGAATAACAAATGGAAATGGACGTAAATGATATATTATACGTAGTATAATAAGTGTTTTTTTATATGTGGAAATAAGAACTAATCTTTGTTAATTGGTTTATTCACTTTGTATGCAAATTACAGTTCGGTCGTTTTTACTCGCTGTTTTCCACTTCACCTTACTTTTGAAAACAAAAAGAGATAATTTCTTTTAATTAATGCGTGAGTTAATAAATTTGCTCATATTGCAAGAAAGATAAAGAGCTGACTATTTTGATGTAAAATACTTGTGGATTTGTAGAAAATTCCACTTCTATTATACAATCACTCTATTGAGATTCTGTGCTTTTCGTCAGTGACATAATCAATTGTAAACTATTATTCGTTTGAAAAGAACGATTTAATACATCTAAGAACGGGAAACAAAATTTGACTTGTAATCTTTAAGACATAGTTCATATATATCACCTGAGACTTCACCTAAACTGGTTCAGTTCCTACTAAGAAACTGTCTCATGTGCTGCAATCCTTCTTAGAAATAGTGCAATCCTCCTTTGGAATTCTTTGAGTCATGACTGGAAAACAATCATACTTTTCGCTGTATACTTTAATAAACAGATCAAAAATTATTTTTTATGTATGCTCATTTCTAACTGTATACTTGATTTTTTCTAATTACTAATCACAAATACGAGTATGTCTCATAGAATAGAATAGAAAAAATATAATGCTGATAAGTGTTATGCTCGTTATGTTTTTTTGCCGGTTGAAAGTCAACTACCAATTAATAATTCTATCGCATTTGCATATTAAAATATATAACATTCAACTACGAAAATATTTGACGAAATCCTAAAATTATCTCGAATTCATCGCCACATTTATTTTTGAACTTACACTTTGGAGTTGGTTGAAAAATAAATGAACTTGTTTCGTTCATGCTCTGGTGGAGGTCAATTACTTGAAGAGAATATGATACAGCTTCTCTAATCGCTGCAGTATTTTTCTTTACAAATTGGTGAGTTGCATTACGACATTCTTGTCTGTTATGATACCGTTTCATCATCCGTGATTAGCAGCCCGTTTCAGCTGGGGAACGTTCACAATTACTTATCTTTTGGTGATTTATCGGAGGGCACTTATTCAGCAGTTGTGAAGGTTAACGGCACCACGTTTGCCAACGTTTAGCTTTAGAAGTAGTAGCGGCCGGTAGGGAATTCTATTGGTGATGCCATTTAGTGATGCAACATCGAAAGAGGAACATCTATGTTACCAATTGCCGATGTTTAAAATTAAAACATCGATTTTAATAAAAATCATCTATGTTTTTTAAACATCGATACGATGTTTTAAAACCTGTGTAGTAATCTGTAAAATAAAATTCATGGACAACAAAATTTAATTTTACAGTGACCAAGTGATAATGAAGATTTAACTGAAAACAAACTAAAAATAAGGCCAAATAAAATACTTAGCCTGAAAGTCTGAGCGTCCATAGTAATTTCAAGAGATCTCAGTTTGCCGAGTTCGCTGAAGAAGGGTGCGGGAGGGAGAGGGGAAGCCTTGCGCCCACGGCGTACACGCCGCCTCTCCACGTGCAGAACAAGGAAAGACGTACCAAATCCCAGGGCATCGGGGTCATCTTAAGCGAGAGATAATCTGATCGATGAAGATAGTACCATAGATCACTCTACCGAACTGAACTCGGGCAATACTGTGCCAGTTCGCTTTTGGCACCGTCTCATTCATAAGAGTTACATACAAACCGTCACAGCGTTCATTACACGGCGTTAATGGGCAGACACAATGCCAATCCGTAAGTAGCTCAGAGGTTTAGGAGGAGGCTGAGAGACAGCATTGCTCCCGAAGCGTTTGATAGAGTATTGGTAGAGTATCGAATGACTAAGTTATCGTTCAAATGAATTACTATAATAAAAAATATTTTGAAGAAACGAATATTTTTATACATACATTTGGGGTGAAACATTTCTTTTCGTTGGTGGTGCCATGGTGCACTAGTACTACCCTGTAAGTCGCCACTATTTAGATATTTTTAAATGTTTTGCTCAAAACTTCGAGAAACTCCAGCTTTTACAAATGTTATCTAAAAATATTTCTCACAAATAAACACTTTTAGAACTATTGCAATGCAATAAATATTTCAGTCATACAAAGCGTAGTAGCAACGTTACATTACAACAGGAGTTGTAAGATAACGGAGTAAAGTTTCAAAAATGAAACAAATACTGTGTGGATATGTATCAAAACCAATTAAGGACTATTTAAGAAAATTCAATACTCATTACATATGTACCAATGGAATAATTAAAAAGTTCATATTCAAATATTTTAGTTTGAACTAAAGCTACTGTAAAAAGCCAACGTTTGTGTCTACTCCAAACGAAATTTTTTTTTTGAGAGTTTATAATCTTACAATAGTAGTATTATGTTAATGTCAAGAAACTATATTTTTACCTAGTAAATGAAAATATTAATTTTTACTCCATAGCGTTTTATCACCATTATATTTTCACTTTCTGATGGAACAATTCAAGGAGGTAACGCACAATTAACCCAAGAGGCGCATATCACAAAAAAGGTGTTTGCATTAATAAAAATGTATTATTTGTTAAATACTAATTTGGAACATAAGGGAACTATATTTACAGGATTTGAAAAAATAAATAAAGCAATGACAGAGTGAGGAAGCAACTTACAAGAGTTATACTATCCTAAGTAGAAAAAGAGCTTGTATAATTGAAACATATCCTCACTCTTGTTTCCCAATCAGCAATTCGTGAGGCTGTTGTTTCCGAAATACAATTTTCCGCATGAATTCTAACTTTATATCTAAAATGAACATTATAAATGTATTTAAATATATAAATATCGAATTTATGTATATGACAAAACGTGCAATTAGGCGGGATATGTCTGACATTATTTGCCTCTATATTCACTCATTAAAGTTTAAAGTTAACTGACATACCCAATCAAACATTATCAAACAGCCACGACTTCAATAAAAAATCTGTCTTTTTTAGTAAGAGAAATGGGGATAAAAAACGGGGAACCGTGCCAGTTAAACGAATTACCTCCGCCTAAAGGTTAATATCACGAAAATTCATAAATTCATACTCGAACCAACTATTTCTTAAAATTTTCATGTAGTAATAGTGGCTCAATAACAATACACTTCGTTCGGAAATGCTTTCACTCATTCTCAAATTGAGTGAAAAAACCATCAGCTGAGGAGCAAGAGGATACTGAATAAACGTAATCATACAAAATACGATGCATCTCGAAGTGATCATGTCGAAGGATTTAACCTTAACCGATGTAATAATATTTTGTCCTTTAGTTAAACTTTACAATCTTTCTTCTGTCATATCTTGGTGAACATCCACAAAATTTAAAATAAATTAAGAATATGTCTCAAACTAAATTGAAACTAATTATTGACTTGATATATTTTTTAAAAATATTCTGTTTTTTGCTCCACAGATCATTTTATGGAAAGAGTTTCAAAATCTCCTGAGCAACAAAAATTGAAGGTATCTTACACTCCCGTCAACTCTTTGATTAAGTGGCTCGGAGCAACAGTATCCTTCTACAAGCATTCTAGCAATTACTCATCACTAAAGCAGTAATCAATCCTACGTCGAGGGTCGTTTCCATTATTCAGTTTACAAGCATAACCTAGCCTTAATGACTCGCCTTGCATAGTAAGTTCACAAGACTTCCTACCACACCACATAAATTAAGTAATTCATTTATCCAACGGCATTTCTAGTATTTTTCTTTCAAAAATAGCTAGGTCATGAAATAATTACCCAGATTTCAACTCTCATGGTAATATAATGGTAAAATGTTCTAAATGTGTTTGTCGGTGTGTTCTGTACTTTTCTCAATACAATGTATAGTCGATAAACACGCAAACAATATCTGTAAAGATATTAATGATAATTTGCAGAGTGCAACGTGCCATAAATAGAAATTAGGTTGCAGTGTAAACGCCCGACATATTCGCAGCGACGCAACATAATTCTGCAGAGAGGAAACTCCGGCAGTGCATTGCCTGGTGTGGAGCAGAGCAGCGCTGCACAGTGGCTTGAGATTTAAATTGGTGCGGCAGAAAAAAGTTAAAGTTAGTCCCATTTCCATTTGGATAATAATAGCGTCCGTGGGCTGCAATAGTGGCACCACTGAAAAAAAACACGTGTTAAGATAAATGAGTTTGAACTTTTCACGCTATATTGAAATGCATCATTCTTGCATTCACACTTTTGCC